ACGATGAGCGGTGAGAAAGGGCTGGCCCTAGAGAGGGGCTGCTTAAAGTGGTGCTCAGCCAATCGCGGCTCAACAACGCCCAGCCCCCTTCCTCCTCTAGGCAGGGCGGGGAGAAGCCAGGAGGAGGGAGGGAGGAGGCACTGCCGCGGTGTGTGTGTGTGGGAAATGGCACAGCATTAGATCAGAATCCCCACGCCAATCCACTCTGTGGACCATTTGCGGGCCGGATCCAGAAGGCAATTGGGCTGGATCCGGCCCCCGGGCCTTAGTTTGCCGACCCATGTGCTATTCCATTTGTCATATCCATTGTTGAGTCTGAACTGGGCCAGGCATAGTAACTTTTAGTGATGGCTGCTCACAGTTACTGTGCTCACCAGATGCTCTCTTAGCTCTATTTTCGCTTTTTGATAGCAAGTATAAAAAAAAGGTTTTGGGGGGCAGGGGTTAAGCATTTGGGAAGGGAGGTGTATAAAGGGTTTTTATTTCTCCTGCTGTTTTATTGAACTGCATTATATGATATTTTAACAATTTGATTCTTGCATTTTTATTGTTCTAGTTATTTTGTTGTTGCTGTGGATACTTTGTTTCAATGGCAGGGTGTACGTATTTTAAATAAATATTATTTTAATAAGAATTAATTTCCATCTCTCCACCCAAATACTTTACCGCCATCATGGAAATACAAATTTTGATCTGTAAAGTGTGTATCTGGGAGTAACACCAGCTTTTTTCTCTCTCTCTCAAGTTCCAGATGCTGCTAGGTGTTCAATGGTAGCACTTGTCCGTACCACAGCAGCAAGGCTTCACCTCAAGTTACTCCCAAGAGCGAGGAATACTCTGCGCTCCCTTCTGCGTTTTTTTCCCCAGCGGTACGGTTCCACTACAACCGGGAAACTGGCGTCTCACGGCTTTGCTTCCATGGCAGCAATGTCATCCTTTCCCCCGCAGAGGTATCACTACTTCTTAGTGCTGGATTTTGAGGCCACATGTGACAAGCCGCAAATCCATCCACAGGTAATTGTTTGGCTTTAGTTTGTCTAGTTTTCTACAGGAGACCTTCTGTTTGGCATTGAGGGCTTTGCAATCTGTGTCTTCCAACATGTTGCAACTGAAGGTGTTTCCTAAGCATTTTTCTTTCCCGTTTTTGGGATATCTGTATCTCACTAGCAGATAATGTAGAATCTGGATTAGCATATTCAGATCTTAGGCTTCCTCGTAAGCTCACACTTTGGCAATCTACTCTTACACCCTCAGTTCCTCATCTTTAAAATGAGAAACTACTTACTACACAGAGTCATTATGAAGACAGAAATGCATTTAAAAAGCGCTAGAGAAATTCTTAATAATTTGTCATATGTTTTCCCTTTGTTCACTCCTGTAAGTTGCTGATCCACCTCTTTGTTTTTCTCTTGGCCTGAGGAGCTTCATGATGCATTTTTTTATCGAGCCTTTTCTCCTAAGAAAGCATGGAGTCTAGAGAAAAGCTCATCTTTTCTAAGTTGTGATACTGCATTTATTGTCCTTTACACTGCCTGTGTTCTTTTCAGTGGGAATAGCCAACTCCCCTAATTTGCAAGACAGTGAAACTGCTTTGAGTGTGAATGTATGCTGGATTTGACAGAGGAGCTGGAATTACAGCACCTCAAATTGTTGACTTTCCCTGTTTGCATTTTTCTCACTCAGTGGTAATTATGAAGTCCAATGTTCTTTACCACTTTAAAAGGTACCTTCTAGCTGTTCTGGGCCTCTGGATCAATCTTGATTGCACAACTTGCTTCCGCAATTTTGCTTAGAATTTACCATCCTCGTGGAAAATACATCTGGAAACACTGCGTAGGTTCCCATATTGCCAGTTGGGTCTGTGTTTCTATGCAACACATACTTAATATTCTGCAATAAAAAATTAAAAAATTATTCAGAAAGTCAAATTTATTTGTTTGCTCAGGTTACTTGATTAAGAGTGCAATCTGATGTGGGAAGGAATGGGGAGTGAAGCGGTGGATGGTCCACCACTCCCAAGCCCCTGCTGGCATGGACAGTCCAGGATGAGAGGTGTGGGGGGCATACCTACCTCTCCCCGCTTTCATGGTTGTCTATTTTGGCCAGCACCCCCCTCACTGGAAGATCTATTTCCAGGCTTGTTTGGATGGGAGGACCATTCCTAGGGGATGCCCATTGAATGGGAAGGGGCCTGGGATCCAGTGATTACAAGGCTGCCTCAATTGCACTCCTGCCCCAGAACACCCTGTTTGGGGCCCCAATGCTGACTACTGTCAGTGGGAACACTGCCAACAGTAGATAAGTGCTTTTTCACTGGCGTAGTAATGGCCTCTGCAGTAGATGTGGCCCCAGCCGCTGGAGCTCTTTTCAGTCAGCGGAGGACACGCCACATCCCCACAGTCCTAACTCCCAGGGAGCAAGTTGATCTGGTGTTAGGATTGCTCAGTAAGTCTAATTAAAAATGGTGGCATTTACAGTTTGGGAAGTTATTCTGGCAGAGCGGTGGAAGGGAAAGAAACACCTGGGATACTGGGAGGCAGTACGAGTGCAGGTAGACCTAGGGAGATGCGTTAGTTCTTTCCTTCATGATCACCAGAAGCCCAAACAGTATGTATCCCTTCTGGTTTCCCCTTCTAAATGTGAATAATCCAGCATTATTCACAGCTAAGCAGGGCAAGAAAATTAATTTAAAAAATGAAAGTGGAGATTCTCAGGATATTGCATATGACTGTTATGTATTATGCAGCTGAGATTTCTATACTGTTATGGCTATGGAGATCTCTAGTCTCCCTGCTTAATATTTTGAATTGGAAAGGGTTGCTAAATCAAAATGAGCCTCCTCGTCAGCATGGTAATGAACACTCAGGATTGTGGGTTTCAGTAGAGCCATGTCATCTGGCTGTTTTTAATTCAGGTTTGCAGTTAGAATTGTGAGCCGATATGGTTAGTATATTATTTCATTGGGCTGAAAAAGTGTGTTTCTTCTAATATGCATTAAGCATTCAAGTATTTTAAAGCTATATTAAGCACTTTCCTCCTGATTTTTGTTTTATTTGTCTGTTTCTAATGGGACCATAATGCTTGAAGGGGATTGTGGTGGCTCAAGGGCCCAGCCCTTTTGTATTGTCCGCTTACCTAAAGTTATAGAATACTAATGTGGGTGGGGCTTGCTTAGCTTAAATGGGTGGGTGGGTGGGAATTGGAAGGTGGGGGGTGTAGATTTCATTAAGGTCTCCTCCTTCTCATTCCCCAATAATTGGTGCCCTGGAGAATACTGGAGTGATATTCACTGTAAATCACGCTATCATCTTCAGCTTCCTTTCTAGGCCCTCTTCTTACTTTGTTTCTAAGAGTGTTTTTAATCTGTGCCTCAGTTCCTAGAGAAGATGCAGCTCAATATTAGCCATCTTGTAGATGTGCCTTCTTTTATGTTACTTTGCTGTGTGAAGAGGAACTACAGTAAGCCCGAAACTTACATGGGCGTTACATTCTGGGGGTTGTGCCTGAAGCCAAAATTGTGTATAGTTGAAACCTACTGGGTTCAGTGGCGGGTGGGATTGTCAAAGTCTTTTTTCCTGGAATCTTGGCCCCTTTCTGCCCCGTATTATTTTTTTTGCCACACACGTAAAGCTGAATGTGCACAAGTTAAATGCACATAAGTCACAGGCTTACTGTAACCTGAAATAAACTGGCTAAAAACAATCTTCCAAAACTCCTGTGTGTCTGTGGGAAGGCACGGTTGATTTTTTGAGAGTAATTCTGCAGGAAAACCTTAACTTTTCTCTGGCTATTTCCTGTGCACCCAGCCTTGGGTGCAAAGTCCTGTCAAAGCTGTAAATTTGCTCTAGCGTGTCCCTTTGGACTTGTGTTCATTTTGATGCAAAACCATGATGCATGTGGAGCTATTTTACAGCTGGTAGTAAAAATGGAGCATGAGTGGAATACTATTACTACAACTTTAAGGAGCTATGCCCCCCAAGTCCTTGCTGTGGAATATGTAACAATATGTGCCGTTGCAGCTTGGCTATATATTTTGTGGGGAAGATAGTGCATTAAGGTTATACGTTATTCAATTGGATCTTTTCATCAACTGTGCCCAGGGCTCACCTGCACCATGCATTCCTTTGCCCAGGGCTGTCTTGCTGTGCTTTTTGTTGGAACCTGTAGAGACACTAAGAGACTTGACTCAAAAATATCTTACTAAAAATGAGAACTTGCTCTGTGTGTCAAAGTTATATATCTTTACTTGTGTGCATTTAATGTGAATATAGAGAGGTGCTTTTGGAGAACAAGCTGATGTGTAGATTAGCTAACCTATGCTTGCAGAATCCTTTGCTGAAAATTATTTAAAGAGCTTCATTTTAGAGCCCTGGACTTCAGGACAGATTGAAGAACAGCAACACCTGAACTAACCAGCCATTGCCCTTGTGAACTTCAGCATAAGAGGTTTAGCTTCAGGGCATAAGTCCAGGTTTATTCTGAGAAAGCCATCGTCTTAAAAATGGAATAGAACTTACTCCTGATGGCTTACAGAATGAGAACCAGGAGTTGTGTTTGGGACCAGCCTGTAGGATCAGGGCCATAAGTCAGAAATAAAATAGAGGGCCAGGCATGGCAAAGCTGGGATATGGATCAAGTAGCCTAGAATCAGGGCTGTCCTGCCCATGAGGTGAAGTGAGGAGGTGCCCACATGGGCAGCGTACCTGCCTTGCCACCTCCACCACCAGCAGAGAAGCAGCAGCTGCACCGGTTTTGATTCATTCAAATAAGATAAAAACAATACTTGTTTTTATGTATTGTTTTCTGTATTATAATGACATCTATAATTAAGACAACCAAAATAAAGATGCCAAAAAAACTGAAATTAAGTTGGTCCACAAAACTGGTGCTAGTAAATGAACTTTAGGAGCCCACAGCAGCCTGGATTAAGTTCAGGGAGAGCAATTCTCTTTGCCCACTTCCCAGGTATTCCAGTTGCTAGTGCTGGACCTACTTTTCTTCCATAGCTCAGTGGTAGAGCGCTTGCTTTGCATGCAGAAGGTCTTGAGTTTAATCCCTGGTATCGTCAGGTATGGCTAGGTGGACTGATGGTCTGACTTGGTATAAGGCAGCTTCGTATGACACACAAGGCCCAGTGGCGGAGCTTCATGCTCTGGCAACGGGGGGCGGAGAGCAGGCGGGGGCGGGGCTGGCGGGCGTCCTGGGGGTATGGCACGCCGCCTGAGGGGGCGTGACGCCCAGTGCGGGTGGGGGCAGCCATGATCACATCTCACCGAGATTGGCGCTGCTGGGGGTGGTGCACTCCCCCCCGCCAGTGACAAGGCCCCACCTTGCCAGATCCCTGCGGGGGAGCTTTGAAAACAGCGTTTACAGCTCCAAGTTTGTAAGAATCCTTTGACACAGGCTAGTAGTGCTTACAAATTTAGTTAATAGCTTGAAATCTGCAATAAAAGAAAATGCTCAGCTCCAGTAGCAGAAAAAGGCAGTGTCCAATGTACCGTATCTCATCTAGGGAGGGTGTATTTAATTTTTTTTGCTTGTAGCAAAAATTAATGTTGCTGCTAGTGTAATTGTTCTATGTAACAATCTTCAAACAATTTAGTTTTTAAAAAGGCAGCAAAGTGCCCCAAGAATTCCAGAGCCATGTGCTCTGGAGGTACTCAGATTTATTTCTTTATTATAGTTCTCACTAATGGTCACCGAAAATGACATTTCTTGTTACATCAGTAGCTTTGTGTAGCTGCATTGTAGTGTATACAGTCTGATGGGTGGCATTCTGGATCATAAGTCTAAGCGTGTGTGTCCCTAGATTCTTTGCCTTGTCTAAGTCTATGCCTCAGGCACATGCACTACATTCTTTGGAGTTCAGAAACCTCATACAACCATTGCATATATGTGGTAACTACTGGAAGTTCCTGCCCGCTAGTTCTTTGCCTGTGACAAGACAATGGTGTACAGACAGTGCCATATGTGGAAAACCAGATACCAATGTAGCATTTGTTTATTGACATGTGACTTTTGCTCTGGTGGTATTTGTATGGAGCAGCTAGCCAGGGACAGTGAGCTGGCATGTAAAGGAATTTCAAGAAGCTAATACACATCCAGTGGTTATATGAATTGACTCGGAGACATGCTTTGGTTCATACTGTTTTCCTGACATTCAAGGTCATTAATATTATTTTCTACATTACTCTGGTTCCTCCATTTCGCTTGCACATTCCATTTTATGACTCTGTCATATTCCCACATAAGAATAGCCTTGCTAGGATAAAGGTAGCAGTTTACTGAGCCTGGTATCCTATCTTAAACAGTATTCTCCACCATCTGCCTTAAAGCAGGGATGACTAACTTTTTTGGTCTGAGGGCCACTTTCACCCTTGAACACTCGATGAGGGTTGCGTGTCAGTGGTGGGTGTTGTGGCCACACCACACTCTTTCATACACAATCTTGCTTGTACATACAGGCACACAGCCTCTTCTCAGTAGATCTGTGCAGATTAGTTGAGGAGGGGGTTATTAACGAGTGCTGTGTCTGCTCCCCCCCTTTTTTTGCTAGTGCTGACAAAATCTTCTGGTCTTCTGGGGCCAGAAGAAATTCCTTGGGGACCTGTTATCAATTGCCTGAACTGGGGGTTAGCCATTCCTGCTTTAGAGGAAAGAAATATGTAATAGTACAAGAAGTGCCTGTGTCTCCTCCTCATCTTCTTCTACTTTTGTGATCTGTGAGTGCTCCAATTGGAGAACAGCCTTCACCAAAGGTGTCCTGGCTGCCTGTGTATGGGTATCCCATCTACTTCAGGGGTAAGCCTGAAGGCTGGATTTCCTCATGGTCAGCTTTTCTGGAGTCAACATGCCAGTATTGCAAGAGTGGGTGTGGATGTGGCTCTTACGTTAGTGCACCAGGCTACATTTTAGTCACACACAAATCAGAGGTTTATGCAGGCAAGCAAGAGGCATTATCACAGTTGAAGGATACATTCCAGCCAGGCAGAAGTATTTGTGGAGGGAGCATGACCTGGGGAAGAGCCCTGAGAACTGGATAGAGAGGCCTGTAGGACTGCATTCAGCCCATGGGCCTGAGGGTCCCAAGCTCTGCGGTATTCTGTCCATATTAAACCTGTTTCTTAATACCTGTTGAAGAGTCATTCTTGATTCCTGCCTTCTTTCTAAACATTTTTAAAAATTCAGATTTTGTCTCTTTGTTTCCAGTGTTGGTTGAACTATGCAGATTGGATTCTTCACTTAAGGCAACCTGTGTAGTCTTATAGGCCTTTGCATAAATTTTCTTTTTAACACTTCACCCCTGTTTCATTTATGAAAAATTGTATTAATTTTAAACTTGTGAACTTCAGCTCACACTAAGTAGTATGGTTTGTGATTCAACAGTGACCTCAGTGGATGGTTACTATACTGCATTTTGAGGTTCCTAAATTTTTGAATGATAATGATTTTGTGTTTAAAAGGGGGTGGTAGGAGTAATAAATTATTACTTGCCCTTCTCCAGCAGGTCCCAGGGCAGGTTTCAATAGTCTGAACTTCAGACTTAAAAACAGTTAAAACAAACTACTGTACAATTATAAGGAATAGGATGAGTTCTAAAAGCACACACCTCAAGTATCAAAGGCTAATGATTTACTGCAGAGTGAATGTAGCTAAATATTATGAAGAGTGTAAGGGCAACCAAATCATGGATCTACTGTAGAATTGGACTTAAGAGGAGGAGATGCTTGGGACACAGTACTTTAAGTTAGTATGTTAAATTTAGGATTTATTAATGGTGTGAAATGGCAAAGGTTATGAATTGAAAAAGTTACAGGGGAAAGCATAGAATTCAGAACTCTGGCAGCAGAAATTAGCATATAATTTTCTTTGTCTGGTTCATTATCTCATGCCACTTTACTGTGTTGTTAAACCTTATTCATAGAACTTTTAAGCATTTATGTAATTGGCATTTTCTTGCTTCTCCTGCACATATACATTTGACAATTCAGTTAAATTTAAAATTCTATGTTCTGTGTGCATGTTGTTACATATATAGTATGCATATTTATTTTTTCCAGGTAGCTGCAGCAAATGTAATTTGGAATTGACTACTCTCTAGAAAGGCTTTTTGGTATACCTGATTAATATTTAAGTTAATCATTTAAGTTTAAGTTTAAGTATTTCAAGACAGATGTGTTGAGCTGGAATGGCAATATATGTAAATGTGTGTTGGAATAGTTAATGACCCTTCATTAAACTAATACAGTAGTGGCTTTTCTTTCTTGTAATGAGTCTGTGTGGTCAGTTCTGTAGAATTTTTGAGGGTGTATTTGTGTGTCTCTCTGTGGGGTGGGGGCAGACGGCTGTTTAGCCATGTTGTCCATTACCCCTGGAGGCCAGTGTAGGACTGCTCAACTCAGCCAGCTCTCATTAAAATAATAATTAAAAATTCACTAGGCCAGTACTGTCCACATGCTGTCCCTTCTTCTAATTGCCTTTGAAAAAAAGATGGGGGATGGTACCCCTGCCTTCTACGATCTCCGATTCTTCTATCACATCTCTTACTCCCCCTCCCCAACTTGGAGGCATCAACTCTCATCTGTCAAAGTGTAAATCAGCAATTAAAACACAAACAGCAAAATGCCAAAGATGACCTGGAGCACAAAGCGACTGACAAACAAGTCCGGACAAATCGGCGGATAATTTATAAGCATTGCCCTAAAATCTAATTATTTGGCAATTCGAATTTGCAGCCGGCCAGGGCTATGCAATAAATTTAACCCGCCATAAATTATTTAGGAGCAGCCTGTGGTGTAAATCAAAAACACAAGTGTTTGTTTAAGAAACAAGCTCCTTGTACATAAAATGACTTTTTCTTGTCTTTTTCAAAGAATAGGAGAAAAACTGTTGAATGAAATGAGCTGCTGCCGCTGAAACTCTGACTTCCTTCCTCTCTTGGAGGTGCAAATAGGATGTCTTTTAAGTAAGGAACGCTGCCCTTTCTCTTATCAGAAACATCTCTTACTATCAGCGGCACTGGGCTTTTTTATTGCAGGAGGAACAGTCAGCTCTGATTTTCCCGTGGCATCTTTCATTTTTTTATATTTATTTATAAAAATGGCAAGGGCGGTTGCGGGGGGCAGAAATACATTATTCTCAATTGCAGTTTTTTGAACTGAATAGGGTAATCTTATCCACTGCCAATAAATTTATACTGATCTTTGAGTGCTTCTTGCCCACTGCTCAGATAAACATTTGAGAGTCTGAATGTTTTTGTGGGTATTTTATTTCTGTAATCTAATAAGGTCCTCCAATATTGTGGACAAAGTGTTCCTCTGTGGATATCGGTGTAATTCTTTTCGTTGTGTTCCCAAGTCAAGATTTCTTCAGAAGTTGCTTAGGTAGTTAAGCTTGTAGCTTTTCCTTTCAGCAAGAAAGCTCACAGTTTCTAGAGCCTTAGGTTTCCCCCCGCTTTTCCTTGTCTTAGCGACATCATGCCAGGAGGTTGTGCTTTTTTTTCTTTAGGAGGGTGGAGTGAAATATAGGGTGGGTTTATAGTGCTGAAATCACAGGCCCTCATTTCCTAATCCCTTGGAAAGGGAAGTTCTTTTAAGTTTTCAACAGGCCAGTTGAGATTCAGCCTCCCATCTGTTTCTTGACGACTTTTTGTGGGGTAGGCAAATTACATAAGGGGGCTGCCTGTGTGTGTGTGTGTGTGCGTGTGTGTTTTCCTCTGAGGGTGGTGGGTCAGAAACACTTCATGGGCTGCCAACTCCTTAGAACACAAGTACTGCAGACTTTTGTGTACAAAATGATTTAAAGCAGGCATGTTTGGTAAGAGTATAACTTTTTTCTCTACACTCTTTCTCTGTGTGTGTGTTGAGCTGATTTTTAGTGTTTCTCTTATAGGCTAGAATTGCTATGAGAAACTGTGTTCCTACCATATAAATGCAAATATGTTTGTGCACGAGTTGGGGCTATGTGCAGACGTTTTCAAATCAAGTAATTGTAGACAGATTTCATAATAATGGATAGAGAGAATTAAAAAGATTATTTCATCACCAGCAATTTGAATCCTTGCCTTCCTTT